AATATTCTGTGAAAATCCTATGGAGCATGATAAACTTCAGGTTTGTCAAATCGCCCATAAAAAAACTTTGCCTTTGATTTTGAAATTATTTTAGAGGCATCTAAATTTTAATACAGTCCACATAATCACTCTTTCAAGTTCTGTCAGGTCATTTTACTTTTTTTCTTTATAGCAAATTTTTTTACTTGTTCTACAGCGTTCCTACTTGTGAATATATCCGGAACTCTACAAAAAAACGCAATGCTGAAGAAAATCAGACAAGTGTAAAATGTCCGGTGTGCAAATTATGACCATATTTCGGATTCGTCTCTCAATTTTCGAATTCAAATGCTTAACTCCACTTTCATGCATGCACGGACCCTTCAACAGTGAATAATCTCAGTATAACTCAGTATGGTTTGAATGTCATTATTATTTGTTTAAAGACCGGCAAGGTACGGGTATGTTACAAAGGTAGGGAAACAGTTATGAACACGAAAAGGAAGAATTTTACTTTCATTCTTATCTTTTTCAAGTACTTTCATTCTGTATTATTTGGACTGTAGTGATATCCGTTCACCCACGTTGGAAATTCTTCAGAAGAGAATTTGAATGTTTCAGCATTTGCAACTGGACTACTATAAATATATAAGTTATTTTATAATTTTCACACACGTCTGGATCCAGTCTGTGTGCCAAACAAATCATGGTACAATAATCTCTATGAAAAAGAAAAACGTTCTATGATCTGCATGTGGGCGGATTACTGCCCGGTTGCCTAGGTCAAGGTAGGTAAATATGTAAAGTAGTCTGACTATAAATGAAAATATTCATTGACTGCGCTACACTGAATACTTAATGCTAAATGACAGATTACCAAAGTTGAACAATTATTTGTTCGGTAACCTGTTACTGCTGTTTTGTTTTTCTGTGTTTATAACTGTACACTTCTGTTTTGGTTTGACTGTATCACAATTTTATACGTTATTCTGTACCGCCACGTTTGAATTTGTCTGGACAGTGACGTCAGATAACCTAGTCGTAAATCTGCTTGGATTTATCGGTTGTTGGTTGATCACCATTTACTGTAGAACCACGGTTTACGTAGAAATAAGCTGCCTCAGTCCTCTGTGTTTTCTGCGTCTGTCCAAGCCGTGTGTAAGACTAGCCTTGACAATTTCCAGTTTACCGCCACTGCCACCCATTTGTTTCTACACACTTCATACAAATAAGTAGCCCGTCGAAATTCATCAGAAACACTTGCAACATGAGCTTGAATCGGTATAATTCCTCCAGAAACGAGATCTCGACATTCTTCATTTGATCACCTGGAAATCGCAATCTTATTTTCCGTATTTGTAATAACTTTGTGTCCATGATGTCTTATGATATCAAAATACGATTTCCCCTAGTGCATCGTACTTTTAACTACACTTGGTGCTCTGTATCCTTGATCATCACCTAATTGTTTTATTACATTCACCTTCAAAATTATCATTGGCAATGGATTTAATTCTTCTACCACTCGGTACCAAATTTGCTCTTCGCATTACTTTATTACATCTAGTGTTTATGTGGGAAAGCAACGCGCATTTAGTTTTTACCCGTATTATTTAACTTTATTCTGTTGTTGCTTTTATTATTTTTGTCTACTTTTTACATATTTCCCTCTTGTTCATTGTGGGACTGTCGTCAATCACACCTTTCATGGAGCCTTGTCGGACACGTTGTACACCATCAACTCAACAATGCCTAACCTTTCAGGTGTTGCCCATTGTTGACCTGTCTCATACGCGTTCCCGTAAGCATCAGCTCATACACCGGCACACGTTCACATACATACGTACATATAGATGTATTTATACCGGGCTCAGCGTAAGACACACCGCCCGTCACCCCATACCTATTTGTTGTTTTGAAGCGCAATTAAACCTATTCTGCAGAATCATTCAGGCTATTTTTCGAAAATCAGACTGAAAGAACATTACCCAGTGAAAGCTGTATAATTCAAAAGCCGAATACCCTCAAAGTGACTCAACTGCAGCGGAAAAGCAAGAAAGGTTGATATGATGCGTTAAATGCACCTGATTTACCCAGTAAGCCAGATATGGATGGTTAGTAGACCAATGAGAAATTTTCAAAGGTTCCTCAATCATGCGTCTCGAAACAAATGATCGGCAGAAACGATAACTGAAATCTGCTGACGTTTTCCAGTTTAAACCGGCCAACGCATTCCATTTGCTGTTAACCAAATGCATGCACCCGGTCAATCAAGCAAACAATTCCTATTCTCCAAATCATCTCATAAATTTTGATCCAATTTCATCTTCGAAGTCTATTTGATTACCTGTTCAAGTATGGCATAAAAGATAAGTTCAACGCTGGTATGTTCCGTCGGCAGTCCATCCAGTGTCTCCTGATAGATACGCATATCAATTGTCCCCCCGGCAATTTCTGCAGACTGAAGCGAAGTGCCAGGGTCGTTCGTCACGGATTTGTTCACCTCTTCCGGTTCGGAAGACATCACAGACGGACGAGATCGACTTGGGGAGCGATCCAGATCGGACGCCACTGTGGGACTCAACTCCACATTGTGAGCACATTGGGCCAAATGGAATACCTTCACATGATTCGTATAATTTTCCCATTGACGTCGAAAATCCACCAGATCGTAAAGCATTGTTGCGATCTCATCAAACATTTGAGAGCCAAATTGTAACTAGTACGGGTTTTGTAACAAAATGAATACGAATATTAATCAGAAATTGGTTACATAATGCAAGCTTGCATAATAACTGATAACAATGTTCTGGAGGTTGTATTTCCCTAAACCTAACACTATTTCAGGTTCCAGGGCTCCATCTATCGGTTCTCATTGAGCAAACTTATGAGGCTACGAAAACAACTCTCTCACTCTGTTGTTTTCTGAATTGCTTTAAGAGAAAACAGAAAGAATGAAAATTATCCATAATCGAGTAGCCATAGAAGGGACCTGACGCTCACGTAGGAAAAGCTAAAGGAGATAATTTTATTAGTAATACTTTGTGTCAAACTTGTAGCTGCTCATGGACTACATTTGAATTGTGAGTACAAGGTTGACAGAAACGAGTTAAATGTGTTTTTTGTGACAAAGCAAATTGCAAGTCAGGGAATAAATTTATTCGTCAGGCGTAGGTTAAGTGATGAAATAAATCAAGTTAACTGTTAATAATGCTATTCCATGCACCGGTTTTAGTTGCTTTTGCTTACCCACTTGGATAAAGGAGCAGAACAAAGACTGGTATTTTGAGAGTATAATCAAAGAGAATATGGAGAATTCTCGTAGACTAAGGTTGCAAGAATAATGAGCAGATGCACGAGTGTCACTGGTTGCAACTTTCAGCCATACCAATTAGTGTCTCTAAGGCTGACAGATTCTTCTGATCTCGTTTATCCACGTCCATATGGAACATTCAATTTCAATTTCTTTTTTTTTATTCTCATAATTATTATATGATTCTTCTGAAATTCGGATATTCTTTAGTTACACTGACGGATAGGTGATTGATGGTGTATCTCCGTGCTAATCACTAGCTTCTGTTCTTATGCCCTTCTTTCTGTTATTTCACATATCCATCGGCTTTCCAGCATGTCGCCGCGTGTCAGCACCAGTCTTATTTTGGGCGCTTTAACAAATATAAGAGAGTAATTACTTCGAACTATTACGGGAATGCTGTAATTATTTCATGAATACCTTTAACTCTTTCTCTTTCTAAAAAGGATTGTCATATATAAATAAAGTGTTCGATGTAAATAAATAGAAAACTATCTCTTTTACGAAGGTTTTAGTTACCTCCATGCATGATTAGCCCCACCGCTGTTTGTAACAGGTTCTCATCCTCTAACGAGTAAACTGCAGGTAGACACAGAAACTGTTCAATGCAACTCCCTTACTCTATTTTCCGTTCCAGTGAGATCTTCTGGAAGTAAACTTGGTTCCACCACGTAGTCCAGTGTGGCGATATTTCCCAGAAGTCCGAACGGATTGTCCCGCATTATACGATTAATATTTAACCAATACTCGTTCATCTTCTGTTGATCAGCTTCTATCCGTTCTTGTTCCGCGTGCAATTCCTCTATCGTTTGACCGCCTAAAATTCAGGGGAAAATTGTTTTATTATTTATTTTTCTTTTGTCCTAATAGTTTTAACACGGAATTGAAATCACGCTACCTTGACGAAATCCAAGTGCATATATATATATATATATATATATATATATATATATATATATATATATANTAATTCAACTACTGTTTAATCAGAATTCACATTTATACAACACGCTATTGTCCTGAGTGGGTATAGAATAATTATCTGCGTCGAAACTTGCAACCTTTAAATTCTAGTCGAATGATTCATTTCCACCGACGAAAATAAGACTCCGATACTTCTGTTTGCTTTCTCTCAGTAACAGAAAAATATGCGATTGCCATTAAGAAAGAATCAGTTGTCTAATAATTTTTCATCGACGTTTGCCGTCAATTAGGCACACGGTTCTCAATTACGATATCGGTGATTCGTTCCATGGCTTCAGTCGGCCATCGTCAAACGTGTAATGTACTCCGGTTGAGGACTGTCAAACTTCTCGGAAAAAGGTAAATATTCGTAAACCATTTAAACGACTAAGGCATCATAGCTCCTTCGCTTTACTGCAGGAATTAAATGGTCTGCTCACCTGCTTTTGAACCCCATAATTTTTCTGCTTTTTGTCTCACAATGAGCTCCTCCAAATGTTGACCGTCCCGCATCTTGAGACGTATTAGTGCGTGAACACCGATTTCTGCCGCACATAGATATTGCATCAACTCTGTGTCTTCAAAACCAGTAAGTAATATGTATCTAGAAATGCCATTATCCGGTTCATCGCCTGAAATGGGAAAACAAACAGTGCAAATTGTGCTAAAATCGATGATTTGGTTGACTCCCGTTGGACTATGGAGTCATTCTCAAACAAGTGAATATTCACTTTTCTTAAAACTATGAAAATCAAGACCGCGTTCAGTCCAAGCGGTTTGTTTCTATATTTTCATAAACATAAGGCTCATCACACAAGCAGGAATACTTTAAGCAATTACCGCATAGATACAGGTCTCATTCTTCAGTCATGGTAAAGTGTTCCCATGACTGATCTTCCTAAGTCTTCCTCAATTATTGTTTCATCGGAATACTTTTTCAGTGACTAATACATCACTTGCAGCTTAACAGATTGAATGTACCATATTTACTGTTTGGTATTCCTGAATTAGCATTGCTAGCAACCCAAAATTATACATACATAAAAGGTGTTTTTTCATCCATAAGCTTTATTCTGAAATATTCCATCTCGCCTATTCGCCGAGCTTGGAAATTTGTTTGCAAACGTTTCATTACCAGCCGAGGTGATATCATCAGTTCTTGTGAAGTGGGCACTTCACATCTGTGTATACTGCAGTCTACGCGATCAATAATATATGGTCAGTAAATAACAGAATAATAGGCGGAGAAAGATTGCGGTCACAATTACTCACCAAACACATTTGTTACCAGCGTGATAAGCCATTCAGGTTGTTAACACAGTTTGGGATGGTAATTCTGAATTGCTAGTTCCTCGGCGTATTTCAGAACTGTAGTGTTGTGTGTTGTAGAGCATTCTGAACGCGCCGCGCAGCATGATAGTTTTTTATTTCGACCAGGTTTGTGTGATCGACGAACTGAGTTTCCTACAGGTCATCGGTAACGTCATACTTCCTTTGGTGGCATTGAAAAGCTTCACCGAAATAACAATGGCTACGACAAGTATGAAAGCTTGTGCCAACTCTAAAACTTTCAGCCGAACAAATAAATTTGTAAAGCAAAGGGATTTTTCCTGTCGGAAGTACAGAAGAAATCCATCTATCGAAACCTGGAATAATTATTCCTCACTGCAAATCAGTGTACCAAGTTTATACTTGAGCACAGACTGATTTATCCAGAAACCGTGGCTCTAAAGTTCTTTTCCAACCCAAAACTGTCGTATAAACATGTAAACTTTTCAAGGAAGATGAAGTGCGGAATACCAGGACTGAGGATGTCTGGATATGTTTCAACTGTTACGCCAGAGGCAGCAGAGTTCCTCAAAACCCAGTTCGATCAGGTGTTTGCTACAACAACACAATGCATTACAGATTCAAAGCATACTACCCTGTAAACCATCTCCGTCACTGGTTAATATAACTTTTGATGGTGAAATGGCAAAAGCAGAACTGCTCACTTTGCCTGAGACTTCATACCCAGGTGCAGACGAAACGCATCCTCGGACTCTCATCTAACTATTCAATGACATATCCGAACCTCTGACTGTGCTTTGCCAAAGGATGGTAGAAAAGACGGTTATTCCACAGTTATGGAAGGAAGGGTTAATTTCACCCATTTAGAATGGGGGTTTTCGCTGTGATTCCGCCAACTACCGTTCGATTACACTCCTTCCGATACTATCGCAATTCATTGAAGCTAATATGGCAAATCTGTTGATGAAGTACCTGGAGGAGCATGGAACGTTGTCTCCTGCTCATCATAGATTTCGGCACAAACGTTCATGTACCACAAACCTAATTCTTGCACAAGATGAGTGGACAAAGTCGGTCAACTTGATCAAGGTGTTTCTCCAACGAGGAACTATATCAGTTCGTGTTTTTACTTCGTCATCTGCACCTATCACCGCTGTCAGAGGGGTTCCGCAAGGATCCGTTCTGGGTCCTTATATTTTTATTGCATTTATGAACGCCCGACAACATATTCTTCGGTCAGTGACACTAATGATTGCGGCCGACGCCAAAAGCTGAAGAACAGTAACATATCCATCCATCCAAGAAATGATCAATGCAACCGACAGTCGATCGCCAATAACAGTGAATTCGGCATTTCAAAATACTAAATTATTTCATACCACTCAAGACTCTTCTCTATTGTTCTAAGGAGCCAAATACTACCACACGCCATTAATGAAAGGGATTTGGAATTTATGGTACAGATGGACGTAGGATTTTTCACATGCTGTGACAGAGCATAATCCGTGGCTGTAAAACAATTTAGATTAATTAAACGTGCTTTCGGGCGGTTCCAAAGCTTGCTATCACCTTTCCTTCGGACACGCACAGAATGTACCGCTCGAGTATGAAATCTGTGATTAAAACGCAACAAGAAGACCCTAGAACTTCCGCAAAGGATGGCAACAAAGATGGCAGAATGTCTATATAACAAGACACTTCGAAAGACTGCAAATCTTGAGGCTTTACTCTCCTCAGAACCGTCGACTTCAGGGAGATCTAATCTTGACAGACCACGCAATCACACTTGTCGTTTTGTGCTGACCTTAACTCAAAATATTCTTCTCAGGGGACACTCAGTGGAACTAAGAAATTCACTTAGATTGATTGTTTGCTGTTAGAATGTTCGGTTTATGGAAGCTCTTCTATCCCATATTTTGTGTTCTTCTACAGTTTAAGTATTCAAATCACAGCTTGATAAAGCATTGGAAAACTCGGCATTCCATTATCTGTGTTAGTGAATATGCATATTATTATTATTATTTGTAAAGTTTACCAAAACATTCTGTAAAAATCCTATGGAACATGTTAAGCGTTAGTTTCGTCAAATCGCTCATTGTAAGATTTTGAACTTTGTATAGTTTAGTAACTGTTTTTTGAATATGATAAAAGTTCTAATCGACCATCTGTGTTTTCAAAGTATTGCTGGTATCTGATAGGAACATTGAACGATAACGAGGTTCAGCATGATGTTTTCGGTTCTGTTTATCCCTCTACGCAGCCTCCAATGCTTCAGACATGTTTTGCGTATGTCCGCTCATCGTTCGCTCTTCGAGGCACTGTTTGCACGTGCTCAATATGGCTGGAATAAACATCGCAGGGGTAATAACATGGTTTGGTGTTGGGGTACGAAGAAGCCAGCTTCAGTATTGGCTTCGGTCGGTGCAGCCCGCCCTCCACGTCAGAGCTCAATGCATCAGAGGAGAAAGGGGTGGTCTCTAATCTGATTTGCAGTTTTTAGGTCCGTCCTAGGTTCATGGTGTGACCTTTTGTTGCGTCGTTTGCACCTTGGATTGCATTGATGCATACTTGTTATCTAGTTCGATGTCTATTCACTGAGTTGATTGCAAAGCGTCAAGGCTCCAAAAATGCTCTGGTTTACTTTGGTCGGTTTTGGTCGGTGATTCTCATTCACTGGAAATAAAATGTAAGTCTTTCTTGATTTTGCTGGCCGGAACTTCCTTGTACACGTTCAATTTGTGATAATTAAAAGTTCAGCACCCTTCGACAGAACATCTGAAACTCCTCTGGTGTCCGCATAAAACCTAAAAAATGAAGAACCGTCTATATCGCTCAGCCGTGAGGTCATTTATGCCTCGGGATTGTGATCTAAAGTATGTACTTCGAAGATATTCATGGGCTGGAGGTTTTATATCGACAGTATTCACGTAGTTAGGCGAAGGAAGGATAGAGCACATTTCACTGTCCCTCGGGATTTCTGTTGTTCAGCTAAAAAGGACTTATTACCTTACGTTGAAAACCAGTTAATACATTGCCCTTTGACCTTCAAATAACATCTTCGATCGAATTTCCAACACCTTTGCTCCAATTATGTCATGCTCCCAACCACTTCTCCCAATTTAATCTTTTCAGCGAACGTTCCCCATGAGACAGTGGAGCTTCATTCTTGTAACACATCAAGATTTTTCACCGCTGAAGTTTATCTACTTTGTTCCGAATGATATCGTGTTACAGCAGAGTTTCGAATTCAGTTATTCTGAACCTACCCAAAATGGTTATACATTCTTTCGCTTTACTTCGTTGTTAGAAGAAACGTTTGAGCTGCTTTTATCTCAAGGTGGATGTGAATACTTCGTGCTTAAAATGTAAATGCAGACAAAGCAAAATGTAGTTCGCGAAAAAATAGATAAATGTTTTTTTTAAGATCTTACCTATATACTTGTCCTCATTAATCTCTTCTCCTCTTTTGACCAGTTTCGTTCCTCCTTTGACCGATGGGGGTTCGTTCTGGTGACTTTGTTGACCTTTTCCACCTGCCTTGCCGCTTGGCGGTTTACCTTTTCCTTTAGGCTCAGAAGCCTTCTTTCCCTTGGCATTCGCTTGGTCTGGTACTTGAGCCTGTTGTTTGGAAATAGAAACACGATTATTTAATATTTTATTGTCTTACCAGGAGACATTCAAGTACTATTGTTCAGTCACGTTGATCTTCAGTTTTATAATCGTTCCTTTTAAAAACGGTGTCATTCAAATTGGGGACAGCTAATTGATTACAAAGGTATTGTTTCATTTAGTTAAAACAATTTATGCACCAGTGAAGTCTTGAAAGCATTACATGGATATTCCATTTTTATTGGTAATGGTCAGCGGTGCGTATCTATGCAGCTAATGACTATGAGCTGTATGCTTCATATCAACACAATCCGATGTAGCGCACGTCTGTCTCTGTTCGTCAGACAGGTTTCAATTTCTTGGTGCACATTTTTTGTATTTTTCCCTATCATAATTTTATTGATGGTTTACTTTTCTCGAGCGAACAATGTCGATCTACTTCAGCAGTTTGAGTAAAAATATTATAATATGGACTATAATATGGACGATCCAGACGAATCCTTATGCCAACAAAACGATTGCACGGAATGGAGTTTCATTCGAGAACTAATTAATTGCACTCAGGTTCTTACCACGGTAATTAGTCGTCTACCCAGCTCACCGAACTACCACGGGAACGGCCCGAGGATAATAAAAGTGACCCTCGGAACGCCAGAAATGGCTAACTTCGTATTGCAGTCGTGGAAGGATAATAGAAAAAGTGGTGCGCCACAATTAGGCCTAAGACCATCACATAATCCCAGCAAAGTCCGGAAACGGAAACCGATACTAACACACTACCTATCTCGACTAGTGTGGTTTTTATCACTCCACGTTCACCAAACAGCACCGACGAAGCCAATTCTACAAAAATCCAATGTTAGCCGACCCCAAGGTGGTCGGCAGAAACAAAACCACATACCATAGATTTCTTTACCGAAGATATCCTTCATGTTTTTATACCAATGCACGAGGTTACCTTGGCAAATTCTCCGAGATGGAACTTCGTTGGAAAACTAATCGATTTGACACTGTTGCCGTTACTGAAACCTGGCTAACCACCGACATTCTTGACTCGGAATTGCTTCGCTTCGCTGCTCAGACATGATCGTTCTACACGAGGCGGTGGAGTGCTGCTTTATCATTGAAACAATTTACAGTGTGAACGGCTTGATATTCCCGACGCAGCCCCTCATTTGCTGTGGTGTTCAGTAATACTCTCCAAAAACGATAGGTGTCTAATCGGTGTTTTGCACCGACCTCCCACATCTTCAGACTCAGCCAACGAGAATTTTTTGCAAACCGTAAGGAATGCATTATCACCAAAGTTCACCCATGTCGTCATAATGGGTGACTTTGGCTGCCCCAATCTCATCAGAACGAGGACTTCCCGCCAGCCATTCGAGAGGCAATTATCTCAGTTGATTGGATTGCACCCACTGTACAACCTCTTAAGAGAACCTACCAGATTTGGAGCAGGTCACATACCATCAACACTGGATTTAGTTCTGACTAACGAGGAGCTGATGGTTGAATCTGTCAATATCACATCTCCACTCGGACATAGTGATCATGCCGTATTGAAGTTTTATTATATAGGCTACGCCTCTACCTAAGAAAACCGAAAGAGCAGTACTCGTGCCATCATAGACTACAAAAGGCTGTAAAACCTGGCCATACTTAAGCAATGGGTCCTCCCAGAAGATGATCACGATCCTTTGGTGGCATGGAAAAGCTTCACTGATTGTCTTACCGAAATTGTAAAGGCTGCAACAAGTATAAAAACTTGTGCTAAATTTAAAACTCGTCATTCATTCATTCGCAGCCGAACGAAGAAATGGATAAAGCAAAGGAACTTTTTCTGGCGGGAGTACAGAAGATGTTCATCTATCGAAAATTGGAACAGTTATTCCATACTGTGAAATCAGTGTACCAAGTTTGTACGAGAGGACAAATTGATGTACCAAGAAACCGGGCTCAAACATTCATTTATGATCCAAAATTGCTTTGTAAACATATCAATCCTACAAGGAAGGTAAAGTGCGGAATACCAGCATTGAGATCGTCTGGACATGTTTCAACCACTACTCTAGAAGCAGTAGAGTTCCTCAAAAACAGTTCGATCATGTGTTTACTGCAACGACACACGAAGAATTACAGATTCCAAGCAAACTACCCTGTTTACTATATCCGTGTTATGATTGTGGTAGTAGCAGTAGTACGCACGGAATTCGGAACACCAACCACGCGATATGAATCATAGGACCCGAATCAATAATCAGCTATCACGGACTAGATCTCAGGAGCACTGGACCACAATGGCACGGATTCGGAATGTCCAACGAGAACGAGACGCGAGGAAAAGGCCACATGAATGGTTATAAGCAGTAGTTCTTTTATTGAAAGAAATGAAGGTGATTAAATAATGTGTACAAACGGAGATTATTGGCTATCTGGGCTTCCAAAAATGGGATTGCAGTACTGCTTGCATAATCTTACCTCTGTCTGCACTGCCTTGGATTGGCTGGCACCATCCACCAATGACGTATATTCAGAAACCATGCACGTGTCATTGACGTCAGCATTCAAAATTGATTTATCGCAAATGTCCTGAAACTGTAACGCGCCGCTCCAGAGTAGGCGCCATCGTATAGGCCTGGATCACCACAATCCGCCACTGGATAACATGGCTTTTGACAGTGAGAAGGTTAGAGCAAAACTACCAATTTCACGTATGAATTCATCCCCAGGAGCAGATAACATGCATCCCCGGACTGTGGTCTCTCTAGCCAATACCCTCTTACTGTTCTTTACCAAAGGATGTTCAACCAGGCAATAATTCCGCAGTCATGAAAGGAAGGGGTGATTTCCCCCATTTACAAAGGGGCTCTCGGAGTGATCTCGCCAACTACCGCCCTGTTACACTTCTCCCGATATTGTCGAAAGTCCTGGAAGTTATTGTAGCGGATCCGTTGATGGAATATCTGGAGATTCATGTGCTTTTGTCGCGAACTCAGATTTCGGATTTCGGCACAAGCGTTTGTGTACCACAAATCTATTTCTTGCACGGGATGAGTAGGCAAAATCCGTCGATGCAGGCCATCCATTGAATATAGTTTATTTAGACTTTTTTAAGGTATTTCATCAAACAAACCACCAAATTCTACTGCGAACACTACAACTACTGAACAAAAAGCTTGGTTTTGGGCTGAATCAAGGAGTTTCTTCGACAAAAAAACATGTCAGTTCGTATTGTTGATTAATAACCAGAGCCTAACACCGTTGCCTGAGGGGTTCCTCAAGGATCCGTACTGGGGTTTCGTCTCTTTCAGACATTTATAAATGAGCTGCCACATGTCCTTGGGCCTGATACACTACCATTTGCGGACGACGCTAACATCTGGAGAACTGTCACATCCTGAGGGTTAT